GAGCCGGACACTCACCGCCAGAGGCTGTGAAAAACCCGTTATGAAAGTTCAGCTTTGGCAAGGCAATCACAGATATGTAAAAACGCCATATGAAAGCGCTGCTAAGCGGGTAAAAAAATATATATATATATATATATATATATATATATATATATATATATATATATATATATATATATATATATATATATATATATATATATATATATATATATATATATATATATATATATATATATATATATATATATATATATATATATATATATATATATATATATATATATATATATATATATATATATATATATATATATATATATATATATATATATATATATATATATATATATATATATATATATATATATATATATATACACAGTACATGATGGTACATGCACACAATTAATACTTAAGAGAAATAGATAAATACAGTCGCCAAGTTAATGTCCATTCAAATAATGGACTCAACTCCCTCCCCCTCTTCTCACACTACACTCGCTGGCTCTTCCCTCTCTGAGAAATTTTGGGGGGAAAACCAGGTATGGTAATAAATAATACCTCAAACTAAAGTTAGGATAATATAATTGACATTGCTGGATTCCTTGTAAGACCAGGAATATTTTGAATACAAATGTCATATATTTTGCACAAAAGATAACATATTTACTCAGAGTAAACATTATATCTAAAATTTGTATGTCTAATGCAAAATCTATGATGCTTATATTCAAAATGATCATCAAATTGTAAGAATTCCAGCAATGTAAATTATATTCTGGCCGGGTAATTTGTATGAATTTTATGAGCTAAAACAAATATCTTCAGTTAATAAACAAAAAAATATTCTTCACGACGCTATCTGTCAATCAAAGTACCCCACCTTGCCTCCCCCCCTCTTCCAACCGCCAGATGGTCGGTCCGTCCCAACCCTCCCCCCACCCCTCACCAATCCTCCCTTCAAGAGAAAGGTTGGGTGAAAAAACTAGATTTTAACATTTAGTATTAAATAATACCTCAGATTAAAGTTAGGATAATATAATTGACATTGCTGGATTCCTTGTAAAACCAGGAATATTTTGAATATAAATGTCATATATTTTGCACAAAAGATAATATATTTACTCAGAGTAAACATTATATCCAAAATTTGTATGTCTAATGCAAAATATATGATGTTTATATTCAAAATGATCATCAAATTGTAAGAATTCCAGCAGTGTAAATTATATTCTGCCCGGTTAATTTGTATGAATTTTATGAGCTAAAACAAATATCTTCAGTTAATAAAAAAAAAAAATATTCTTCACACCCTGGTGCCAGGTGGTCGGTTGCCGGTCCCTCCCTCCCTCCCACCTCCCACCAACCCTCTCTTCCAGATGAATGTGTGGGAATACCAGACTGTTTACCTTTTTAGTAATAAATAATAAATCAGACTAAAGTTAGGATAATATAATTGACATTGCTGGATTCCTTGTAAGACCAGGAATATTTTGAATATAAATGTCATATATTTTGCACAAAAGATAACATATTTACTCAGAGTAAACATTATATCTAAAATTTGTATGTCTAATGCAAAATCTATGATGTTTATATTCAAAATAATCATCAAATTGTAAGAATTCCAACAATGTAAATTATATTCTGGCCGGATAATTTGTATGAATTTTATGAGCTAAATAAAAAAAATTATACTTCACCCGTGTAAAGGGGTATACCCACCGCGGAATGTGA